CCTTGAAACAATGACTCAAGATGAAGATGAGAGCGTACGGGCATTTGGGATGCGTTTCCAAAAGATCTCCGACGTGCTGATGAAGAAGGGCAAGATCTCAGAGGTCGAGCGCTGTACTATCTTCATCGGACACTTGTCCAAAGGTAGGCAAAAGAGTATACTTAGAGATCTTCCGCGCGACAGGCTTGATTTCCCAGAAGTCCTAAAGCTCGCGATAAAGGCAGAGGCAGACGATTACAAGGACTTGGTGTGGAGAGGGATGAGGAGACGTGACTTCTCTCTCTACAAGGAGTATGCCACTGATAGATGTCCTGATTTCAAGGATTATCCCTGGTCGGAGAAGAATGAGGCCGTGGCTGAGGAAGTGAAGGAGATACGGACATGGTGAAGGGATTAACGAGACAGGTTACAGAGATTGTGACCGCCACAGGGGCCACGGCCTACCGGGACAAACCTAGAGGGCCCTATTCACTTCGCTGGGACCGTAGGAACAACGATCCCTGGAGGAGTGTCGAGGATAGAAAATCCCCGGACGCTGACTGATTATCGAACGAGGGGAAGAGAGAGAGACGATGAGCCATGGCGACGTAGGGACGATGAGATAGACCGAGACCGCAGAGATCGCGAGCCGTTTGTGCGAGCAAGGAGGCTGGATGATTACCCGCGAAGCCCTCGCTATGAGGCCGATCGGGGTAGAGGCGACTCCCGCGGCCGATGGGAGACAGAACAGAGCGACTCCCGCGGCCGATGGGAGACAGAACAGAGCCGACGAGATGGATATAGGGATGGCAGATATGAGAGATCGGACCAAGATGGATATAGGGACGACAGATACGAGAGGTCGGGTCGAGATGGCTACCGAGGAAGTAGATATGAGAGAGGAGATCGGGACTGGGAACGACAAGATGGGTCGCGCGGACGGTTTGAGCGCGCGGGAGATGCGAGAGAGCAGCGCGACGAGTTGCGGGGATGGTACAACCGAGGGGACCGACGCGATGAGTCACGAGGACGATATAACTCGGGGGACCGCCGGGATGATTCGCGAGGGCGATATGACCAAGGAGGGTTTGGAGGAGACCGGCGCAACGATCCACGCGGTCGGGATGAGAGAGGGGGATATGGCGTCTCATCGGAACCATATCCCAAGTCGCCTGACCCCAAGGCGGCCAGGAGTTCGATCTCTAGAGGCGCAGACGATATGGCATCTACTCCGAGGAACTCATGCGTCTACTGTAGAGGAGAAGATCATATCAAGAGAGATTGCCCGGACCTCAAACGGGCAATAGAAGAGGGACTTGTCGTGCTTGACGACCGCAAGTACGTCAAGTGGGCAGATGATCTCAAAGATGTATCGATGTTCCCTTCGATGAAGGAGAATGTCGAAGCAAGGAGAATAAAGACGAGTAAAGAAAAGGAGCCAGTCAGGAGCCAGAGCATCAAGATAACCTTTCAGGGGGACATGGCGACCACACCCATAAGGGTGGCAGCCACCAAGTCGGCGAGAGGGTCTACATCGAAGAAAACTGACACGGATTACGTGATGGCGGAGAAGGACGGGCAGCGGGTCGATGGAGAGGAGGTTATCCTTTCGCCGCGAAAGCGGGGAGTCAAGAAGTTCTTAATGAAGAGTTCGCTGGACGAGATTGACACGGTCGAGCCACTGAGGCGGGCCCTTCGGCAACCCATGCAGTGCTCTATTCTGGAGTACCTGGCGGCATCG